TCGCCACACACAGCACGAGTCCCGCCAGTGTCAGCCCCTGTTTCCGCCAGGCATGGTCCCCTGACGCCTCTTCCTCCTCGGGTCGCTTCCGCCCCCGTACCCTCTCCCTGGACGCCAAGCTCTCCACTCTGCGCGGTCGGGGCTACAGTGGCTTCCGGTGCAACTGCCAACCGCCCACCGCCAGCTCTGTGTCTCCTCGCCCCGCTCAGACTGCTCTGTCCTGCTCCAGTTCCACTTCCAGCAGCAGCTCCAGCGAGGGAAGCAACAGTCAAGAGTCAGACCTGGGCTTCTCTAGACCGTCCGGCGCACGCCGCAGCTTGAGGAACCTGAGAGCTAAGCTAGACCCCAGGAACTGGCTGCAGAGTCAGGTGTAGCGGTCACACTTCCTCCGATTACTGTCAGAGCCATCACAACTTCCTGTGTCCCCCTGGAAAAAACTGCAATACCTGAGGTCATGTATGCTCAATGTCTGTCATTGCGTTCTCTTTACATAATAAGATCAACATGAAAAATGAACTTTTTCTTCTGCCTTTTAAAGGAGCCTCAGCAATGGGAATTCAGTACTATTAGTTATATAATACAGTGTTTCCCAACCTTTTTTTTGTCGCGGCACCCTTTGGAAATTTTAACAAACTTGTGGCACCCTACAAAATTAATTTTGTCACAATATTTGAATTCAAATGACTAAATGTTCAAGATAAACTCATTGTGACCCAGTAAAGTGAATCCCTTTAATTTGATCTCATGCATTAATACACAAGTAGTGAATATGGTTTCTTAATGATCGTGATACTCAAAATAGTATGAAGGCAGTGTACTGGCTGTGCAACAAATCAAAAACATAAAAGCATTATTGCAGAATGTGGGAAAAAAAACAAAAACCTCATCATTTATTACAATAAGAAATTACTAACGGAGAGCATAGAGTAAGTTAAATGTGTTGGTGATTCTTCTATTGTTCCATCCCCACTAACACAGAAGAACATTGCTAGCTGAAATCTGGTTACACAAGTTAAATGGATTAGACAGACCCTCTCTAGAAGGAACAATATCTATATTCATGCTCAGAGATAAATAAATTACAGAAAAAAACATGTTTATTTGAAAGCATTTTACACAACAGTCTTACTGTACACTACCATTAAAAAGTTTAGGGTCAGTAAGATTTTTTTATTAATTTTTTTGACGAAAATTAATACTTTTATTCAGCAAGGACACATAATGATTGAAAGTGATTTTTTTTTAAGCAGCACAACTGTTTTCAACATTGATAAGAAATATTTCTTGAGCACCAAGTCAGCATATTTGAATGATTTCAGAAGGATCTGTATTAAAAAAATTTATTTATTTATTTTTTTATATATAAATGCAGCCTTGGTAAGCATTAGATACTTCTTTTAATAACACTTTTAAAAAAATCTTACCGAACCCAAACTTTCAAACAGTAGAAAGATGGAAGAATGTAATTTTGATGTAAGGTTCAGAGCATTTAAAAACATGTAAGGGCTGCCAAGTTCAGTCTTAAGGGCTTGTAATATAACACAACATTTTTAACCATTTCATTAGCATTGGCTTCCCATAATAGAAAGGGCTTTAAAAAACCAAAACAAGTACTTATACTTGCACCTTTTTCTGAGGTTGGAAAAGCAGGACCCACTAGTTACAGTGCCTTGTGAAAGTATCCATACCCCTTCTTTTTTTCTCTTTTTATGTTGCTGCCTTATGTTAAACTGCTTTAAATTACCTTTTTTCCACATCAATCTACACGCCATACACCATATTGACAAAGCAAATACAGAATTGTCACAACTTAGTAAATTTATAAAAAAAATAAATAAAATGAAAGTACATTGCATAAGTATTCATACTTATGCAAGCCACTCTTGTTGTGTGCTTAGGGTCATTGTCCTGTTGAAGGGGAACCTTCTGCCCAGTCTGAGGTTCTGAATGCTCTGGACTGGGTTTTCATTAAGGCTATCTCAATATTTTGGTGCATTGAGCTTTTCTTCTACTCTGACGAGTTCCTCAGTCCCTGCTGCTGAAAAACAGCCCCACAGCATGAGGCTGCTACAACCACACTTTACTTTTGGGATGCTACTCTGCAGGTGATGAGCAGAGCTGGTTTCCTTCAAACATGATGCTTGGAATTGAGGTTCATCAGACCAGAGAATCTTGTTTCTCAGATTCTGAGGGTCCTTTAGTTGCTTGTTTTCATGTGTCTTCGCTGAGGAGAGGATTGAGTTTGGCCACACCGGCATAAAGCACAGATCGGTGGAGTGTTGCAGTGATGTTTGTCCTTCTGTAGGTTTCTCCTATCTCTACATATGATCATGGAGCTCAACTAGAGTGACCATCAGCTTCTTGGTCACCACTCTAACCAAAACCCTTCTCCATCAATTGCTCAGTTTGGCCAGGAGGCCAGCTCTAGGAAGATTTCTGGTTGTTTCAAACTTCTTCCATTAAGAGTAACGGAGACTACATGCTTCTGTGAACCTTCAATGCAGCAGAATTTTTTCTGAACTCTTTCCCAGATGTGTGGCTTGACACAAACCTGTTTCTGAGCTCTACAGGCAGTTCTTTTGACCTCAGGGCTTGGTTTTTGCTCTGATATGCATTATCAGCTGTTAGACCTTTTACTAAGACGCGTGTGCCTTTCCAAATCATATCCATTCAATTGAATTTGCCACAGGGTTAACTACTAAGTGTAGTAACATCTACAAGCAATATGAATGCTCCTGAGCTAAATTTCAATTGTCCCAGATAAGGATATGAATACTTATTCAATAGAATCATTTAAGTTTTTTATTTTTATTAAATTTGCAAAGATGTTAAAAACCTGTTTTTGATTTACCATTATGGTGTATGGAGTGTAGATTGATGTGGAAAAAAGTAATTTAAAGCAGTTCAACATAAGGCATCAACATAACAAAACGTGAAAAAAATGAAGGGGTATGAATACTTTCGCAAGGCACTGTATGTTTTATTCCCTCCGCTAGGCTATTTTCTGTTGATGAATCCCAATTTCTTAGGGGTCTGCTATGATCAAATCATTTGGTCTTGGCAATGACAACTTTTGTAGCATCTGCACACCTACTGTATGCAGGTATGACAGGTGCCATTCAGAATGCTGTAAACATGTCTCTGCTTTTTTAAAAAAACTGGCATGTTACAACTATGGCATGTTCTATTTTATTGGTACTATAACACAGTACAAGTTCTGAAAAAAGTCTCTATACTCAGGACCAATTGACGTGACTGCGTAAATTGGATTTATGTGTAACAAGGCTTCAACTGAAACTGAAATCTGTTCTCCAGTAGACACCTCTCCACCACCTTTGGTATCATTTGGTAATGATAACAGTAACAACGGTATGTAAATAATAAATGATGTAATGTGTAAATAAAATGATCATAATTTGTGTACAGTCGTAACAGAAATTGTACTTAAGTATTTCAGTTACTGAGATCCTCCTCAGTCTTGCAGTTGATGATCACTAAAGTCTCAATTGTCGACTTTGGCTGCTTGTTTTGGAACAAAAGGAATCGTTGGCTAAGTTGTGCCTGTGAACGCTTCACTTACAACCCTTTTCCTGTGACTTAGTCTCAGAGTACATGGTACATCCTCATAGACCAGGTTTCGTGGTTCTTAGTTCCTGAGAATTGGTAAAACGAAAAGGGGGAAGAGGAACCATCTTTAAAGGAAAAGTTTTTATATGGTCTCTACATAGTTGGCAGGAAAGAGACCCTGGCGCCCGTCTTTGCTGGAACCTCTCCACCACGCTTTGTCGACTGTCTCCACATCACTGATGATGTCACCAGGTTCAAAAGAGAGCTCAGTGTCATCCTCTGTGGAGTACACAGATGTTTTCAATGATATCTTAATAAACAATAACTGCTGTAGAAGCAAGCAACACTAACCTGCTTGGTAGTCATATAATGCTCTCACACGCAGCAGTCTTTCTGGTGATGACTAGAATAAGAAGGAACAACATGTTTTAGTACTTTTATCTTCTTTTATCACAATAATATTAATGATGAGTCATGATGTATAGTGTACTATGTACTTCGCCATTCTTGGTCACCGTCTCCATTTGGATTTCATCATCTTCCTCCTCACGATTAACCGTGTAACAGTAGCGCTCAGGAGTGCTGTGCTCAGATATATCAACATCCTCTACTTAAAAAACAAAGCAAGGTGTTCATCATTTATATGTATTCATCACACGAGACAACAAAACTAGATAACTTAAGGCTGGAATACACTGCACAACTTTTGCCCAGATCTGCAGTCTAGATGATTTGACACCAATTCCTGAGAGTCAGATCCAGGCTGCAGATTTTGGGCAGTCGGAGTTGACAGATCTTACAGAATATCACACACAAATTCAGATTTTCAGATTGTTCCAAAGAGCTGGCCCGGCAACAGCAAAAGCTCGATCACCACGGTGTTTCAGTCTGGACCTAGGCACGGATAGCATTTTTAAATGCTCTGACCTAAGCAATCTCACTGGTTTTGTGAAAGCAACAACTCAGTGAGATAAACCGATGCAAGATTATTGAGCGATTTAAAAACCAAATGTAATGTTTTAAATTCAACTCTCAATTTTACAGACAACCACTGCAATAAAATCAAGATAGGAGAGATGTGCTGAAATTTACGAGTTCCAGTCAGGAGCCTGGCTGCTGCATTTTGGACCAATTGTACATGCTCCATAGATGAGCAGTTAATCCCATAATAAAGTGAATTACAATAGTCAAAACGAGAAATGACAAATGCATGAATTACTTTTTCAAACTTCTTTGTTGATAAAAACGATTTCACTTTAGCCAGGCGACGAAGATGAAAAAAAAAACGACTTTACACCATTAATCTGTTTGTCAAACTTTAGGCCAGAGTCAAACCAAAAACCTAGGTTTTTTGCACATGGAGTAACCCATTGGGCCAAATGATTAAGGTTATAATTACTAGCATTAAAAGCATTGCTGGGTCCAAACAAAATTACTTCTGTTTTACCTTCATTTAACATCAGAAATGTTTTGTAAGCCATATTTTTAGTTCCTGGATACATACATACAGATCTCCTAGTGCATTATCTCCATGAGGTTTAAAAGAAAGATACAACTGAAGATCAACAGCATATAAATGGAAAGAAATTCCATATTTCTTAAAAATCAAACCCAAAGGTAGTATATATAACATAAAAAGAGTCAGAGCCAGAATGGAGCCCTGAGGAACACCACAAGACAGAGGGGCAGTGGAGGAAGTGTTTTGTCCAATACATACAGAGATCTTTCGGTTTGTTAAAAAGGACCGGAACAATTCTAAAGTAGTGCCTCGTAGGCCAATACAATTTTTTAAATGAGAGATGAGTACATTGTGATTAACCAAATCAAAAGCTGAGCTTTTTTTTTTTTTTTGTTCCTCCAAGAAATGAGCACATGTTTCTGAGT